TAGCTGCTTTCAGCTACAGGTTAGCTCAGTTTTAGCTGCTTTCAGCTTGTTCTGTGTTTTGAACAACTGCTCAGTCCTTCAGCAGAGCTGCAGCTAAAGATCAGCCGAGGCTTGGTCTGCAGTTTTTAGTTTTTCTGTGTTTTTCACAAATCTTGGGTTGAACTGAGTTCTCTGGTTCTGGACTGGTCCAGATGGGTTCTGGGCCATGGGACGTTGGGCTCGGTGTCGTCGGCGCTGTAAACAAAGACGAGCTGAAAGGAGACCACAGAAAGCAGCTAAAGACCTAATGAACCAGAACAACTGGTTCAACCCAGGTTCTGGTTTTATTTGGACCATGGACTGGTTTTGTCTGTCACCACCAGAGGGCGCTCGGCCAGAACCTGACCCACCAGGAGCAGCCCTGAGGTGGACCAGCCTCTGGAGGTCCGGAGGGGTCCAGTCTAGGATCTGAACTAGATCTCAGAACTAGAACCAGTCCAGGAAGTAACGGCAGGCGAGTGATGATGTAACTGTAGTCTGTGTTAGTAAAATATTTTATGAAACTTCTGACTGGATCCACAGCTAATAGGGTCCAAGATGGCCGCCACAGCTAACAGACCGGAGCGAACCCAAAGGTCCAGTTTGGTGGGACAGCTGGGAGCGGTCTGCAGCCTGGTCCAGTTGGGTCCAAACGAGCAGAACGTCTGGGAGCTCAACACAAATCAACAAGACCCGACGGGTCGGTCCATCAGAACCTGCTGCTGCCCTCCATGTTGCCATGGTGACCAAAGTCTGGTCGCAGAACCGGTCTCGTCCGAACCACGGGTCGCTTGTTGGATTTGAAGAGACCAGGACCTCTTGGAGCAGGATCCTGGTCCACACCAGCAGAACCAACCCAGAACTGGACTGAAGCTATGAGGAAAAGCAGCCAAAGACCTGAAGGTCCAGGTCTGTCCACATGTGTCCAGGTCTGTCCACATGTGTCCAGGTCTGGCCACATGTGTCCCATTTATTTATTTAAATTAGAACGATCATATGAATCAACATGTCAGCTGTTAGCATCAGTGTAAAAAAGCTGAAGTTAGCACAGCAGCTAATTTTCATCTGTTGTCCTAAGTCAGGTAAGAACAAGAGACGCCCCACAGAAGAAAGAACAGAGAACAAAGAACAGAGAACATACAGCTACATACAGAACACATGACACAACATGACAAAGATGTGACGCCATGAGAAAACAGAGTAATGTGCACGTGAGTGCACGTCTGGTTAGTTTTCAGAGTTTTTAAATGTGGAGCAGGTGTTCCTCCTCTGATGGACACCAGCACACGTGGTCCTGCTCCTCCACATCGGTCTCCTCTGCTCGTGTGTTCACTCCGTTACTTCTTTTAAACTTCTACTTTACAGGAGGAGGAGCGAGTCCGTTTACTCCGTTACTTCTTTTAAACTTCTACTTTACAGGAGGAGGAGCGAGTCCGTTTACTCCGTTACTTGTTTTAAACTTCTACTTTACAGGAGGAGGAGCGAGTCCGTTTACTCCTTTACTTCTTTTAAACTTCTACTTTACAGGAGGAGGAGCGAGTCCGTTTACTCTATTACTTCTTTTAAACTTCTACTTTACAGGAGGAGGAGCGAGTCCGTTTACTCCGTTACTTCTACTTTACAGGAGGAGGAGCGAGTCCGTTTACTCCGTTACTTCTACTTTACAGGAGGAGGAGCGAGTCCATTGAACACTAAAAATCAGGCGAGCATCCATAAAGGTGAGCTGCAACAAAATGTCCCTGTTTGACCGCAGACTTTGTCACTTGTTGGTTTTTATCTTTAAACGCATCCTTGGACATGGGTTCACTTTTGTGTAGAACTTTAAAGCGTTGTAGTTGTCAGGACATCATTTTGATGCAGGTCCCAAAGGTCTGAACTGAGGTGGTAAAAGGTTTTAAAATCTTTCGCCCCTGCCACTTGGAATATTGTGCAGGAGGATGTAACGTTCTCATCTCTTGTTGCGTTGGGACAAGTTAAATCGACTCTAAAGGAACGAGAGCTCAGATCACTGGAACTGCTCTAATGTGTAATTATTGTCCGGGACATGTATTCTGTGTATTTGGTTTAGGACTTTGGATTTGTTGTAGGTTTTATGCTGCTGTCTTGGCCAGGTCACTCTTGGAAAAGAGGTTTTTAATCTCAATGAGTTATTTTTCCTGGTTGAATAAAGGATACAATCTGATATCTATCCAAATCCACACTCTTGTACTTATGATGTTACAATGATGGCTGTGTAGAAGCTTTTTGTTGAAAATGTTCAGTGTTTTCTTAAAAACAGACTTCAGGGTCTTCATGATGGTCTCTGAATGTGAGAGCATGGAGGAGAACGAGGAGATCTGGCTGAAGACCAGGACATGCATGTAGACCTTTGATGAATCTGTTGTCAGAGAAGTTCTTGTATGTTTCAAGTTTGACACATGAAGTTGAATTCTACGTGAATAGACTGGAATCAAAAGTGACTGTTCAACCACATCTGATGTCTCTCCATTGACTAACACATGGTTGCTCATTATCTGCTGGCAGCCGAGACAAGAACACACTCGCTGTTCTTTAATGTTGAGATGTAGACCAGAGTCCTGGAGCCAGAGAGACACCGGCATCATAGAAGGTCCAGCAGCAGCTTCATGTGTTCTTTCTCCATGAACTTACAACACAGCATCAGTCACAGTCAGACATTCTGTACAAAATGTTCACAGGGTCCCACTTACATCCAACAATAAAATGTAAAATAAAAACTAATAAGATACGAACTAAGAAAAACATCAACTAAACATACACTAAACATTAAGAGCATAAAAACATTACGTTGAACAGCAGCACGAACATGAGTCTGTGTGAGCAGATGAGCATGCATGAACACAAACATGAAAGCGATCAGCAGCAACATGAAAGCGATCAGCAGCAACATGAAAGTGATCAGCAGCAACATGAAAGCGATCAGTAGCAACATGAAAAAGATCAGCAGCAACATGTACCATTTTATTTATAGAGCACTTAAAACAGCTACAAGGCCAACCAAAGTGCTGTACAGACAGAACAACAGGTAACACACAAAGCAAAATACAAAATGAAGTAAATCAGAATATAGACATAAAAACGATGCAGATAATGACGACTAACCAGTGTGGAGCATACAGGATCAAACACAGATCATCTGGTGTTGAAAGCTACTGAATAGTAGTGGGTTTTTAAACGGGACTTGAAAACCGAGAGGGAGGGGGCCTGTCTGACAAGCAGAGGTAACTCGTTCCAAAGTCTTGGTCCTGCTACAGAGAAGGTCCTGTCACCTCTGCGCTTAAGACGAGTTCCTGGAACTGTGAGGAGCAACTGGTCCGCTGACCTCAGGGAGCGTGGTGGGACATACGGTTGTAGCAAATCAGAGAGATGGGGGGGGGGGGGGGACACTGTTCAGTGATTTCTAGACATACATGAGTATTTTGAACTGGATTCGAAGGTGAACCGGTAACCAGTGCAGTGAGGCCAAAACTGGTGTAATGTGCTCTCTTTTGCCTGTACTGGTTAAAAATGGGGCTGCTGCATTCTGGACCAGTTGTAGTCGTGCAATGGAGGTCTGACTGATACCAAACAGGAGTGAATTGCAGTAATCAAGCCTAGATGTAATGAATGCATGTATTACTGTCTCCAGGTTCTTTTTGGACAATATGGGCTTCAGTTTAGACAGCCGCCTCAGTTGGAAGAAACATGATTTAACAATCATGTTTACGTGATTGTTAAGTTTCAGGGAAGGGTCCATTATCACGCCCAGATTAGTGACTCTTTGTTTTTCTGACAGGGTTAGAGCGGAGAGGTCGATGCAGTGGTTTGTGATCGTGTCGTTGGGAGGGAACAACATGACTTCAGACTTCTTTTCATTGAAACTTAAGTTTAAAGCCATCCAGTCCCTGATGTCAGCCAGGCAGTCAAGCAGCGGTTGAATAGAGCATGTACCATTGTGTCTTAGGGGGAAGTAAATTCGACAGTCATCGGCGTAGAAGTGGAAGGGCATGTTGTGTTTCCAGAAAATAGCACCAAGTGGCAGCAGGTATAAAGAGAATAGGAGGGGACCCAGGATGGACCCCTGCGGAACCCCCCATTTAAGCTCTGCCTCTGCGGAACTAAAATCCTTGATGGAGACACAAAAGGATCTGTCAGTGAGGTAGGATCTGAACCAACTGAGGGCTGATCCTGTGACGCCCACCCACTGCTCCAACCTAGCAATGAGGATCTCATGGTCGATGGTGTCAAAGGCGGCTGTGAGGTCCAACAGGACAAGCAGCACAGAATCACCGGTATCTGTGGATCTGAAGATGTCGTTAAAGACCTTCAGCAGGGCAGTTTCAGTGCTGTGGAGAGGTTTAAAGCCAGATTGGAAAAGCTTTAAGATGGCGTGATCCTCCAGGAAGCACTTCAACTGGGACTCGACTATTTTCTCCAGTACTTTAGAAACAAATGGGAGTTTGGAGACAGGCTGGAAGTTGGAAACGACTGAGGGGTCAAGGTTTGGTTTTTTCAGGAGAGGCTGGACAGCAGCATGTTTAAAGGATTTTGGCACCACGCCAGTGGATAAACTACTGTTTACTATATCAAGAATGGACGGACCTAGAGTTGGAAAAACCTCCTTTAGTAGTCGAGGGGGGACCACATCAAAGGGGGAGCCAGAAGGTTTCAAGCTGCACATGACCTGCTCTAGAGAAGATAGAGTGATGGGTTCAAAATGGTCAAAAGGAGCTACAGATTGAGGTGGGATGGATGGGTCATGAGTTGGAGGGGAAATGAGAGCCCTGGTGGTCGCAATTTTTTCCAAAAAGAAATGTAAGAAGTTGTTGCACAGCTCAGTCGAGGCTTCCAGAGGTGATGGTTCAGTGAGGTGGAGAACAGAGTTTAGGGTGGAGAAGAGGACACGTAGGTTGTGAGAGTTTGAGGTAATTATATCAGAAGTATTTGGATTTAGCTGCTTTCACTGCTTTCTGATAATATGAAACAGATCAGCAGCAACATTGAAACAGATCAGCAGCATGAGATCAGCAGCAACATGATGTGATGTTTCACAGTGATTATTCTGGTTAGAGATTCATGAGTCTAACAGCGCAGCACGGTGGTGCAACTGGTAGAGCTGCTGCCTCTCAGTGAGCAGGTCCCTGGTTCAAACCCCGGTCCAGGGGCCTTCTGGGTGGAGTCTGCATGTTCTCTCCGTGCATGCGTGGGTTTTCTCCGGGTACTCCGGTTTCCTCCCACTGACCAAAAACATGCATGTTAGGCTGATTGGTAACTCTAAATTGTCCCTAGGTGTGAGTGAGAGAGTGAATGGTTGCTTGTCTCGTTTGTCTCTGTGTCCCTGTGATGGACTTGCGACCCGTCCAGGGTGTCCCCCGCCCCTCGCACAGTGATTGCTGGACATGGGCACCGGCGACCCCCGTGACCCAAAATGGAATAAGCGGGTAAAAGAAATGGATGGATGGAGTCTAACAGCCTCAGGGTAGAAGCTGTTCCTCAGTCTAGTGGTTCTACACTTAATGCTCCTCAACCTCCTTCCAGAGGGGAGTGGGGCAAAAAGTGTGTGTGCTGGGTGAGTGTGGTCCTTCATGATGCAGGTGGCCCTCTTCCTGCATCTGGAGGTGTAGATGTCTGTGATGGTGGGGAGGCTGACTCCAACATCTTCTGTGCAGCCTTCACCACTCTCTGCAAAGCTTTTCTTTCTGCATATACAGGTCCTTCTCAAAAAATTAGCATATTGTGATAAAGGTCATTATTTTCCATAATGTAATGATAAAA